AATGCTATAAATCAGCTATAATTGCTATAATCTGTTATAATCTAACAAAACACTAATATGGATTTAGATAGTAGAACCTGTTCTAAGCTAGTTAGAGTAAGCTATAGTGATGTAAACTTTGAAGTATATAGAAGAATAGTTAATGCATTAGGCCTTTTAATAGAAAGATATGATCACTAAATATCAGAAATGTGGTGCTCTCGTATTCGTGATCTATTTAGGAAAATACTAGAAGAGAACCTAAGAATCCTTTCTAAAAATAGATTTATTATAATGTATGGAAAGTTATATGAAAGTGATAGTAAAGTCCACGGTCATCCATCAAATTATATATATTGTAGTGTATGCGACTTCCTAGTATTTATACCTGGAGAGTATACAAGACGTTCTTATCGCAATCAAGATAACCATTTGAAGAGATGTATTTCTAGAAATACTATTTTGAATGAACATGCAAGAAGAAAAGAAATTCTTCAATCAATTGATACAAGGGAATTTCAAATCTGGCAATACAAACAATACATATTAAAAGAAAAAGTGAAAATGAAATGTCTCCAACTGGAGCTTTTATCCCAATCTATTCTACACTTAGAAAAGGATAAATTGGCATCGATATCATATGATTATGATACTCATACAATTCTCTATGAAGCTTATACACAATCTAAAGTAACCGTAGTAAAAATTACTATGCCAAGTACTCTGAATTTTGAGCCAGCTTGTATTTCACCTACCAAGCAACGTAGTGCAAGTACACCTGAGATTAGAAATCTTTGGAACGATCGATCAAATATGCCTAATATTTCTAGCAGAACTAGTTTGGGTGATCTTGCTGAAGCATATTTCGATTTTGTGTGAAAAAGTGCAGGAAGAAAATAGACTTAGCTATTAGCCAATAAGGCGTTTCGCAATATCTTTCAACCAAATATTAGCATTATGTATCTTAATTATATTTAGCCAAACATAGCTTATACTTTATTTTTTTGTGAAATGATAGCTATATAATCTGCATGCATAATTGCCTAGTAAAATTGGTTGAAGGTGCTATGCATGAAATGTATCATCCTGCCAAATTTTCCAGATCAGTCCTTGACCCAGATCCCGAATATTATCTTAATAAAATAATATATTGTCCAGCCACAATGCATGTTGGCGTGTGCGACATAAATTAGCATGTTTTCGATCCTCGTTAAAGTGCATATGATGTAATAGGTGATACTCTGCAAATCATCTGTAACTCTGTGTGACTATTTGTATGATAAATTAATTTTCACACATAAGAAATCGATCCCAAAATATTTCAAATTTTTTCTTGCAAACATTTAGCGGAATAGCAATGGCATTTATTAATATGTATATTTGTTAGTCCTAAAGGGACCGCTATTTCTATTATATTTCGAGCTGAACATATCTATATATATGCCAGATTTTTGTGCAGTTCGAGCGAAAAAAAAAGTTCATATATGCATTACCTCCAATGCCTTTGAAAATGTCGAGATCTTCAATACACATTCCACATGCTCTTATTCTTTAACACAAAATTTTGGCGTAAAAGTCATTGCATATTCTTTTGTTTCGACCCCAACGTGAACTCGGGCTTAAAGAGATATGAATGAGAAAATTACAAAACATTTAAAAGGGTAGTATACAAATTTTGCTTCTTGTATTATCTTAGCAATTTAACCTTATATTAACATTATACTAATATTATTCTGAATTAACAACGCAAACATGACTGCATTATACGATTTTATTTGCAATTTTCTTTATATTGCATTATCTGAACATATAACTGCATTTTCAGTAATTTATCAGGTAATAAACGAAGAGCCTTGGATTGTAAAGGAAAATTTAAGGCAAATATTTCATCAAGCAATTACATCTGTTATCCCTTTATATGCATCAAATTCAGAAAAATATCAGAAGTTTATGAGCTTACCCTTAAAGGTTCATCAGTAAATTTAATAATGCGAAGTATTATGTAAACCCTACGCTTCGTAATCTTACGTAAGGTTACGAGCCCGTCGAAAAACTTACGTATCGTAGTACTTCGATATT